GTGTTGTAAGACGTATCATTCTGTTGAAAGGTATGCATCCAAATATATTACCACTTGTGCGTGCCTAGTAAAAGTATAAAAAAAAAAATTTATTTCGACCATTTCGACCATTTCAGATATCCGAAATGATCCATTTCGACTTCATGTATAGTCTGAGTATCATTTATTTAAAAATATAAGATGCAATTTTTTCACCTTGTTCCTTTTTTCAAAATACTTCTAATGGTCATAGTAGACCTAATGTAAATTAATCTCATATTAACTATTTTTGTTTAGTTAAATACCATGATCACATGATATTGATAACACAATTGTGATGCTGAAATTTTTGGTAATACTAATGTTCACTTTGTCTGGTTTTGTTGCAGACTGCCCCATATAAAACATTAATCAAACCAGTTTATATAGTATAGAATTAATCTTTAAATTTCTATTCAATTAATTAATATAATGAAAATATAGATGTAATAATTAATGAGTAGCAAAAATTAGAAACAGCATCATATGATATAAAAAGTCTGAGATAAGCAAAGAATAAAAGGAACGGTTTTATAATATTTATGATTTATATTGTTTATAATATGGGAGGCAGTCAGTAGAAAAGGGGGAGACCAAAATTTAGATTTCCCCCTTTTCTACTGACCGCCTCCCATATATATACTTATTACTATATTCTTGATATAAATCTTTGAGGCTGTTTATTAAACTTTTCATCATTTGTTTTATATAATATTTTTTAAGTCAACCCGTAACTATAAATCTTGTATACCCAGGTCTGCATACTGCATACAATTATTTAAACCTGTATATGGAAGCATCTAATTGAAAATAAAAATAAAAGAATAATTAAAATATAAACTCTGAAAAAGCCTTTAGACAAGTGTTTCCAATGTACTGCAAGAAAACTAAGTAATGGAATCCTGCCAATACGTTCGATTTGCTAAATGCAAGGATATCTTAAAACTACAAAAGAAATTAATATTGATTATAATAAATTCGATCTTCTGCGCCTTTATGCTGCGTCATGATGTCCATTGTTATATATAATCGACTTTTTATTCTTTTATTAATTCGGAGGACGAAATGGAATCTCCACGGTTAAATAGCGATCGTGTGGAAACATTACGAGCAGACAACCCTCGACTTGAAGTGATTCAACCAGAAGCTTCACGAATAAGTGCATATAATAATATGTATTCTCTATCCCATGCTAGTACTTCAAGCTCACCCCACCTTCAACTTCCACGAACAACGGTTTTGCGGCGAACAACTTCAAGTTTATCTTTTCAAGCTTCAGGTTTAGAAGAAGATAATGCTGATTTTGGCGAAAAATATATAAATAAATCAATAATAGATCAAAATTTTCAAAATAGCTGCGATTGTGGCGATAAAAATTATCATAACCAACACCATTCTCATGATAGTGAAAAAGAAAAGAACGGTCATATCCATTCACATAAAAATTATCATGAAAATGTGCTTCATGAAGGACACTATCATAGTTCTAATATTAAACATCTACCAACATTATCATCTATATTTTCATCGTTGCCTCCTTCACAAAAAACATTATTTACCTGGGGATCAGTACATCTTTTTCTGGGAATTCTGCTATGGCTAAAAGGCCAATGGGGTTGTGGATTAGGTAATTTACATTCCATCGCTTTAATTAATAAACGTAATATGAATGACTAAAGAATTAATGTCAGTATAGCTCTCACCGGATTTGCTTATCTCGTAATATTCGATGCTTTGGGCGTATTTACAATTTTTATTTCATCAGTTATCGCAACATATCGATCGTTAAGAGAATCTAGTATACGGAATCCTTATGGGTATTAACCTTTCCATCTTATAAGGTGTTTATATTTTAAATCAATTCTTTAACTTTTCTGTTATAACTTTAAGTGTTCAACGGTATGAAATATTATTTGGATTTATGAATACATTATACCTCTTATTTGTTGCTTTATATATGTTGAAAGAAGGGTTAGAACATTTCATATTAGAAACAAGTGAGGAACATGTTGAAGGTCACAGGTAATTCTTTCAATTCGATTTCTTGAATATTATTTTATATTCTTTTAATTTATTCTAAATAATCTATAGTCCAGATTTTCCAATGGTTTGGGTTTTATCGGCCTTAGGAGCAACATTGATTTCGGCTATTGGTTATCGTAACCACAAAGGATTTTCTGCATGTAGGAGTACACTAAATTAAAATTTTTTTTTTTTGGTTGATTTTTTAACGGTATCTCTTCGTTTGTAGTATCCCGATCAACATCGTCAATGATAGGAACGCAGTCTAATTTATTTACATTAGCAACATTACTTTGTGGTGCTAGCGTCATCTTGGTTGGAGTCCTTACAGAGCAAAAGTGAGGAAATTATGAGAGAATTGTGAGGCTATGTAAGAGGATTGATTTAAATTTATTAATATAATCTCAAATTCTATCGACGTTTCTAGTCATTCTTTAGGATGGCTAGATAAATTAGTATCGATATTGGAATCGATACTGATGTTTTATCTTGCAGGTCCCGTTGCTGTTGCATTAGGCAAAATTTTGTTACAGACTACACCGGATATAGAATTAAGAAGTTTAGAAGCGTGTTTACGAGAGGTATTTAGGAAGTTTGTTTGAAAGTTATTATGAAAATATATCTAATTAATGATTTTTGTCAAATTAGATTCAACTTGATCCAACAATTTTATCGTTAACAGCGACGCATTTTTGGGCAAATTCATACGGACAATTGGTTGGCACGATATGTGTACAGATTAAACCAGATGCTAATGAACAAACTGTGTTAGCATGTGTTTATTCTCGGTTAAGTCCGTTATTTGTAAGCGGCTTTAGTGAATTAACTGTTCAAATTGTAAAATAAAATAATTTATGCTGATCTAAAATAATTTATTAAATTTGATTTTGTATATAGACATATATTAATCATTAATAATTTATCGTCGTCATAGCTATTTAGACCGAAAAGTTAAATATTTCTAAAATTATATTTAATAAGTAAATATATTAATAATGTTAACTATTAGAAAAAGAGTTGATACTAAATTTAATTCTATAAAAAGAAAATTATAATTATTAAATTTTTTATATAAAAATTATAGTATATTAATAATTGAATTAATTAAAAGAATTTAATAATTAACCAATTAATGTTAATTTTAATTTGTTATAATTATTATTATTCATAAATGATTTAAAATTTATTTAAATAAAACAAAAATATTTAAAAAAAAAAGCGTTTTAATATTTACAATATTTATAATAAAAAATTTAAAGAAAATTTATTTCTAACTTTTTATTATATATTTCTTTTGGAAATTTCTTAATTTACATAATTTACACTAGGTGTATGAAACATGGGGTTGGTATAATTTATATAAGTTAATTTAGATAAGTTTAAAATAATGTTATGATATTTATTAGTATGGTTATTAATATTTCCAACATAAATACAAATTTACAACTATAAATAGAATTAAATAAATTTATAAAGGCTTAAATCAAAATTTTTTTTTAAGTGTTTGAAACCGATACATTAGAAGAAGGATTTGATTTTTCTAAAGAATTTGAATTCAATGCTTCATTCATCTCTTCGAAAGCTAAGAAATGCCGTTGTTGAAGTTGTTTAATGTCTTCAAAAACTAAATTAAGAAATATGATTACAAAAATGATATATAACCGAACGAAATATACATAAATTATATTACCATTACTAGCATATGGAGTGTCATTTAGATAGACTTTTTGAAGAAATTCTACCATCGCTCCTGTACTAACAGCCATTTCTTCAAGTGGTAATGTATCATAATATGAATGATCTATTTCAAATGGATTTTCTGGCGCTTTATCAAGACATAATGTTATCACTTCCGCAATAATATCCCAAAGTTTAATATCTTTTTTTAAGAAAAAATATACTCATATATTTTAATAATATAACATTTAGGAAAAGAAATAACAAGCTAATCTACCTTTAGTTTTCCAAGCGGCTATAGTATCAAGTTTTAATGGATTATCAGTTTCTAACTTTTGATCATCCTGAAGTTGAATTAACCTTTTATGATTTGACCTTAACTATAATTATAAAAAATCTGTAAATAATAACTTCCTAAAAGTAAAACTTATCGGATATAAATATTTACCCAAACATAAGGACATTTATATCTTGCATATCCAGCTATCAAGAAAACATGGTTAGTTTCATCCTATAATTAAAAAAAGAAAAGGTTACTATATTTTAAATTACCAAATTAAATTTAATTCGTAATTTTTTTATGCACAACTTTTTCTAAATCTTTATCTAAGGGACTGGATGGTGGTAATATAATATCCATATAATCAGATCCGTAACTAAGGCTAAGTAATTAATGGGAGGAAGGTTGACACAATTTCAATTAATATGATTCATAGCAAGGTTGGATTAATGCTTACAAATTCCGCCAAACCTGATTTAATGAAATTTATATAAAACTTACGTCCGACGCGTTTTTGGCGAAAACAATGCGTTGCTTCTATAATAGCAAAATGCGATAAATACATTTAAATTATAATTGAATTAAAAAACAAAAACAATAAAGTTTACTACTTACTGAGATTTTGCAAGTGATAGAGAATTATAGTTTAATCGATTACTTTCCAAATTTGAATTGGATTTATTATTGCTATCAATATATACACGTAATAAAAGTTCTTCTCGACCTCTCAAATATACTTCAAAATGTTTGAACCCCTAATTAAAAGAATCAGAAAATTGGATATTTAGCTTTGATACCCTACAGTATATATTATATGGGCACTTTGCGGTAGAAAAGGAGGAAATGATTTGAAAAACCTGGAGAACATAATTGACAAAATAAATTGTTTTCTCCTTTTTTACTACAAAGCGCCATATATATTTCTCGAATTTTGTGCGAAAGTTATTAACCTTTAGACAGCCTACAGAAAGGCAATCTGCAAGGAACATAGATAAACGAATAGTTTCTGACTTCATAGGGAAAGGTTCTTTTAGATTATCAGGCATTGTTAATTTCGTTGAAGTTACGAGTTCAAAAAGTTTGTGTTACGGTTTCGTTAAATGCTAAATTTTGGGCAATCACGTGAATAATAAATAATAAGTGGATAAAATACATTAACGTCGAAGAGAGTTTTCGTTATTCCTTGCATTGGCTTCAAAAAGAACGATTCTTTATTATGGATTATAGTCTTCATAGTATATAAATAACTAATGAGAAAGGAAATTTGATATTTGATATCAGGTTGGCGGTCATGTATATCCTATCCCAAAACCTAAACCTTGGAATTGTGATTTAAACAACACTAGACCTATCACTCTACTTGAAAC